GCGGAAGCCAGTTGTCAACCCCACGACCACATCCGGGACAGAAAGCAGGACCTGTTTCTTATATACTGACCAATGCTGTGGCCTTTTCGCCAGTTGAGGTTTTCGTTAAGTTCTGTCTAGAGGCTGGGTGCAAGGCGATGCATCAAGCATTCCCTTTCAATTTTGATTAGTAATGAGTGTAGGTTTAATGTTTTATGACAAGCTCACTTAATATACCATATGATCAATTTTTACCACGAGTTTATTTTTTCAGTAAATGAGACTAATAATAGAAACATTGTGTAGTTACACAAATTATCCACACTCCACTTATGGAAGGTTTTCTTTTTTTGTGTCTCCCACCCCAGATTAATTTAAATATAGTTCCAGTTTTCATTTTTTTGGGTTTCCAATTTGGAATTTGCAATGGCCTTGCTCTTTTTTATTCTTGTAATGTTTTCCAAAGGTATCCGTGTCTGTAAAGCTATTTTGTTCGCGAATGAAACTTGAGACGTTCCCAACACGTTGCGTAGCACGTGACCAAAATCTTCCCACTAGCGGTGGTAACATTATTGTTCATAGCGAACGAATCGAAGTAAACTATCTCCAAATATGACGACAACAGGGTTTAGTTTTTTATGGCTTACACTTTACATTGGAAAACTAAACTTTAGTCGCATCAGTAAACTTCCCACCACGTGTAACCAAAGCCTATGCGTACAGCAATGCGACAATTTGTTGTTCTTCGGCACCAATGAGAATCAGAGAAAGCAACTTTTTGTTTGGCTGTATTTGTTTCTAAAGGAAGGAAGGTGATCAGTTTGTTTAAAATGTTCTACTTGCGTTTGAGGTTATTCAGAATAATAGTATCTTTTGTTCGTTGTCCAACACGGATGCCAAGTTTTTCTCCCGTTCTTTGTCGCTATTTATTGTCACTAATTTAGAAGCTTTTAGAGTAAAATAATACAATTCCAACTTTTTGGAGAGTGAGATTGCAAACTTTCTTCCATGTTCCTTTTAGCTCTAGCATGTTCTAGCGTGTTCTAGTGTGCTAACTCACACACTAAGCGTGTTACGGTTAGCACGCTAATCAAAACAAAAGGTTTAGCGTGTTGACATCTTCGAAACAAATCGTTGTGTGTCCTTCATTGTGTTACGATTTAAATATGCGCATGAAGCGTGTCTTAGGACACACTAAGCGTGCTGTGTTAGCGTGTTGTGAGCGTGTTATCACCTTTATCCCTGTTTTCCCGTGGAAGGTCACATTTGCTGCTTTTTCAACACCTTGTTTCCAATAACTATGGTACTTTCTTTTTTGCTTTTCACATGGTCATATTTTCATTAGTTTTTTTTTTTAATGCCACACACCAAGTTGATGTAATGTGCTTGCTTCATTAATATTTATGGTTATATTGTTTACTGTTTTTCTAGGACNTTATTTTTTTTTAATGCCACACACCAAGTTGATGTAATGTGCTTGCTTCATTAATATTTATGGTTATATTGTTTACTGTTTTTCTAGGACTGTTTAATATCAGTGATAAGCTCCTTGTGTCTCTAGACATTTTGATGGAGCTCAGGGAGTTCTTCAAGTGTGGAGTCCCTCTCACAGTTGCCATACATTGAGAACAAGCTTGCTGTTCTTTCATGAAAAGCAAAGTAGGTATCAGCACTGTGGTTTCGTCCTTGGTTTAATTGCATTCAAGTAATTTTTACATTAGGTTGGCCTCTCAAATCAGATTGTGTGGCATGTCAGCTAATACAATTATTCCAGAAGCTTGTGTTTGATATGAGGTGATAACTAGCCATGAAGTGTGTTTTTCTGAAAGAACTTTATTTGCTAGTGAAGTTTTTTGGTTTATTGACAGTGCATTACTAACAGGGTTCGTACAGGTCCTGGAAAACCTGGAAAGTCCTGGAATTTTACTGTGGCATTTTCCAGGACTGGAAAGTCCTGGAAAAGGATTACTGGTCCTGGAAAGTGCTGGAAACCTGTTAAACTCAAGTTAAAATTATGAAATGTATGGCAGACAGCAAGGAGAATTAAAATTGAGATCTTGGGAGTGAAAGGGTTAATGTGAATTTTAGAGTCCTGGAAAAATCAATCTGAGTCCTGGAAAAGTCCTGGAAATTTGCTTCTGAAAAAGGTTACGAACCCTGTACTAAGTGGAACATATTTTTGATTGGTTCTGCCAGACAAATGTACATAACAGTATTATACAGTTATTAGTTACAGGAAAAATTATTGTTGTGACAGATGAAATTCATAACACATGATCGTTTTCTTTGTATACAGTACTGCTTTTCATGGTAAAAGTTTTGCTTATTGGCATAACCAGACTTATGTGATCTAATTAGAAAAAAGAAAAGATTTCTAGACCTATTTTTTTTAAAAAATATGCCCTTTTTTCAGCCTTTGCCATCTTTAGACTACGTTTCTGATTTGTTGTACAATGGAGTTTATTGTTTTGAGACGTTAACTGCCTGAAGTCTTGACAGTCAAATCTGTGGTATTTGTGGGGTTTTGGGTGAGGTGTATTTGGATGATGGTAACCAGAAGAATTGTTGCAGCCGCAATGAGGTTTGTACCTTTCTTTGAATTTTATTACAGATAACTTCTCTGAGTACTTTAGCATCCAGATCTCTCATATTTTTCTATTTTAGGTTGAGTTTATAATGCCAACGACAGGGTGAGGTTTCAATTCCACAAATTGATGCAATGAAATAGTGTCTCAACCGTCAAGATTCAAAAAAGTGTTGCCGTATGTTTAGTTTGTAATGTCGAAGAGTGGTAAGTCTACCAGTCAGTATAAACACATGAACTGCGGACTGGAAATAAAACACGGAGTATTTGTAAACCCTGAAGTTCTGAGGCTGTGTACAGA